TAATCAGATCAGATAAGACAAAATAAACAGTATTGATCTCATGTAAAGGGGAACACAGTCGTTCAGGATTTTGGTGATTGGGCAGAAATTGAGTGAATCATGAGATAAGACAAATGCAGATCCTCCACAGTCTGATGAATTGGGTTAAATTACATTGCAACTTGGCCACAATACAGTTTAGATTTTGTGGTGGTAAAATTATGTTTTAAGGTAAGATAATCTGATTTTGAGGCCACTAGTTAATGAAAATCTTAAATTCATGTGTTTAAGTGTAGTCAGATTTTGGGGTCAGTGAAATTATTTAACTGGATTAATTAGAAAATGAGGCACAAATTGAAGGGGTTAGGCTAATTACTGAAATGATGAAGGGTTATACTGTATGGGCGACAGTAGCTCAGTCGGTAGAGCATTGGCCTTCAGGCCTGAAGGCTGTGGGTTCAATTCCCACCTCTACACCTTCTCCACCGACTCCCACTGATGACTGCTGTCGTTGTGTCCTTGGGCAAGACACTTAACCCCACTTTGCCCAAAGCCCCCACTGAAAGATCAAGGCTATGCTCACACTCAGAGAGCAGCCGTCCTCCTGTGGACTCACCACCTGCAGAGGGTCAGTGAGGGGCTGGTGCTATGAGACTTGGGTGGCATCTCTGATTGCCACCCCTCTGACCCAGAAATTGATTAAAGGGTAGAAAATGGATGGATGAAGAGTTATAATCCAAGCCTTCATGTGGAAAACTACAGCATAAACTATAACTACTTTTAGAAAGGGGGCTTTCGGAGTACTGTCATTTTAGAAAATGTAACGTAAATGTGACTGAAAAGAGCCAGACGACGACCCTGTGGTTACCTGTTTTCAAACCAACATATAATTCTGGTCCTGAAGACACCTCCAGAAAAATAAAGAGGTGACAATGAAAAAGATACTATGAAGATACAACATCAAAGGGCTCCTTCAGCAATTTCAGGAACCACATGCAAATGCCGATGGTCTTTCGGGAAGAGGAGAAGCAAATGAACATTACGCTCTACAACCAAGTGATGTGAACCTAATAGGGGTTTTTACATGTAAACCAGTATAAAGCAACTTAATAGGGATTTGTACATGTAAACCAGTATAATGCAACCTAATAGGGATTTTTCCATGTAAACCAGTATAATGCAACTTAATAGGGATTTTTCCATGTAAACCAGTATAATGCAACTTAATAGGGATTTTTCCATGTAAACCAGTATAATGCAACTTAATAGGGATTTTTCCATGTAAACCAGTATAATGCAACTTAATAGGGATTTTTCCATGTAAACCAGTATAATGCAACTTAATAGGGATTTTTCCATGTAAACCAGTATAATGCAACTTAATAGGGGTTTTTACATGTAAACCAGTATAATGCAACTTAATAGGGTTTTTTTCATGTAAACCAGTATAATGCAACTTAATAGGGATTTTTCCATTGTAAACCAGTACAATGCAACTTAATAGGGATTTTTCCATGTAAACCAGTATAATGCAACTTAATAGGGTTTTTTTCATGTAAACCAGTATAATGCAACTTAATAGGGATTTTTCCATGTAAACCAGTATAATGCAACTTAATAGGGTTTTTTACATGTAAACCAGTATAATGCAACTTAATGGGGATTTTTCCATGTAAACCAGTATTATGCAACTTAATAGGGATTTTTCCATGTAAACCAGTATAATGCAACTTAATAGGGATTTTTCCATGTAAACCAGTATAATGCAACTTAATGGGGTTTTTTTCATGTAAACCAGTATAATGCAACTTAATGGGGATTTTTCCATGTAAACCAGTATTATGCAACTTAATAGGGATTTTTCCATGTAAACCAGTATAATGCAACTTAATAGGGTTTTTTTTCATGTAAACCAGTATAATGCAACTTAATAGGGTTTTTACATGTAAACCAGTATAATGGAACTTAATAGGGGTTTTTACATGTAAACCAGTATAATGCAACTTAATAAGGATTTTTACATGTAAACCACTATAATGTAACCTAATAGGGGTTTTTACATGTAAACCAGTATAAAGCAACTTAATAGGGATTTGTACATGTAAACCAGTATAATGCAACCTAATAGGGATTTTTCCATGTAAACCAGTATAATGCAACTTAATAGAGATTTTTCCATGTAAACCAGTATAATGCAACTTAATAGGGATTTTTCCATGTAAACCAGTATAATGCAACCTAATAGGGATTTTTCCATGTAAACCAGTATAATGCAACCTAATAGGGATTTTTCCATGTAAACCAGTATAATGCAACCTAATAGGTTGCATTATACCACCAGACCAAGACCCAAACGAAGACTCAGACCACCACCAGATAATGACCACAGACCAGGTTTCCTTAGTTACAGGAACCAAATTGTTTCAGCGGTGAGGGGATTTTTCAGTTTCAAGGACACTTTCAATACATTCAGTAGTTTCAAGGATTTCAACTGTTTAAGAATTTAACCAGTTTCAAGGATATCAGGAGGTTCAATGTTTCAACAGTTTCCAGGTTTAAAAAAGTTTCAAGGATTTCAGGAGTTTCAATGTTTCAACAGTTTCAAGGATTTCAGGAGTTGAACGGTTTCAACAATTTCAAGGACTTCAGGAGTTTCAAATATCTATCAAGTATTTTAACAGTTTCAAGGCCTTTTAAAGGATTTCAAGGATTTTTTTTAGCAGATTTCCACATTAGATCTGTTCCGCAGTCAATCGCAATGGCTTCAGCCATTGCAAGTTTCTAGTTTATACTTAATTCTTGCTTCTTGTTAGATTACCTTCCTTATCGTGCTAAAGCTAGAGATGTTATACTTGCTTCTTTATAAAGTTTTTATTTTACTACAGAGTTATTGTTCATTGATTGACTGCGGAACCTTCCGCAGTCAACCATTGGTTTTGTATTTCTTTATTCCGTCATTTTTTTTGACACGTTTCACAGCTTTCACATTTTCAACAATTTCCACAAGTTATACATCAAAACGTTCCACATGTTTGGGAGATTATTGCTATTACTTTTGGGACTTCAGCGATTTCCGGTTTTTCCGCAATCGGACAAAAATCTGCATTGAGAATTCTGCAATGCATTTTAATAGGCCCATGCATTTTAATAGGACTTCAGCTCTTTCAGACATTTCTACAGTTTCAATGATTCAACAGTTTCAAGGATTCAACAGTTTCAAGGATTTCAGCAGTTTCAAGATTTCAAGAGTTTCAAAGACTTCAACAGTTTCAAGGACTTCAGCAGTTTCAAGGACTTCAGCAGTTTCAAGGACTTCAGCAGTTTCAAGGACTTCAGTGTAATCATGCAACCTAATAGGGATTTTTCCATGTAAACCAGTATAATGCAACTTAATAGGGATTTTTCCATGTAAACCAGTATAATGCAACTTAATAGGGTTTTTTCATGTAAACCAGTATAATGCAACTTAATAGGGTTTTTTTTCATGTAAACCAGTATAATGCAACTTAATGGGGATTTTTCCATGTAAACCAGTATAATGCAACTTAATAGGGGTTTTTACATGTAAACCAGTATAATGCAACTTAATAGGGTTTTTTCCATGTAAACCAGTATAATGCAACTTAATAGGGTTTTTTCCATGTAAACCAGTATAATGCAACTTAATAGGGTTTTTTTCCATGTAAACCAGTACAATGCAACTTAATAGGGATTTTTCCATGTAAACCAGTATAATGCAACTTAATAGGGTTTTTTACATGTAAACCAGTATAATGCAACTTAATGGGGATTTTTCCATGTAAACCAGTATTATGCAACTTAATAGGGATTTTTCCATGTAAACCAGTATAATGCAACTTAATAGGGATTTTTCCTTGTAAACCAGTATAATGCAACTTAATAGGGTTTTTTTCATGTAAACCAGTATAATGCAACTTAATGGGGATTTTTCCATGTAAACCAGTATTATGCAACTTAATAGGGATTTTTCCATGTAAACCAGTATAATGCAACTTAATAGGGTTTTTACATGTAAACCAGTATAATGGAACTTAATAGGGGTTTTTACATGTAAACCAGTATAATGGAACTTAATAGGGGTTTTTACATGTAAACTAGTATAATGCAACTTAATAAGGATTTTTACATGTAAACCACTATAATGTAACCTAATAGGGGTTTTTACATGTAAACCAGTATAAAGCAACTTAATAGGGATTTGTACATGTAAACCAGTATAATGCAACCTAATAGGGATTTTTCCATGTAAACCAGTATAATGCAACTTAATAGAGATTTTTCCATGTAAACCAGTATAATGCAACTTAATAGGGATTTTTCCATGTAAACCAGTATAATGCAACCTAATAGGGATTTTTCCATGTAAACCAGTATAATGCAACCTAATAGGGATTTTTCCATGTAAACCAGTATAATGCAACCTAATAGGTTGCATTATACCACCAGACCAAGACCCAAACGAAGACTCAGACCACCACCAGATAATGACCACAGACCAGGTTTCCTTAGTTACAGGAACCAAATTGTTTCAGTTCAGCGGTGAGGGGATTTTTCAGTTTCAAGGACACTTTCAATACATTCAGTAGTTTCAAGGATTTCAACTGTTTAAGAATTTAACCAGTTTCAAGGATATCAGGAGGTTCAAGGATTTCAGGAGTTTCCACACTTTCAACAGTTTCCAGGTTTAAAAAAAGTTTCAAGGATTTCAGGAGTTTCAATGTTTCAACAGTTTCAAGGATTTCAGGAGTTTAAAGGTTTCAACAATTTCAAGGACTTCAGGAGTTTCAAATATCTATCAAGTATTTTAACAGTTTCAAGGCCTTTTAAAGGATTTCAAGGATTTTTTTTAGCAGATTTCCACATTAGATCTGTTCCGCAGTCAATCGCAATGGCTTCAGCCATTGCAAGTTTCTAGTTTCATTTGTTCTTTATCGGACTGATTGCTTGGTCATGGCAGTATTTCATCCTCTTTCTTTACATAATCAGAGCCATGCCTTCGATTAAGGGTCCGTATCCCTGGGAGACAGAAACAGGCTCAGGACGATCTATGGAACATGGTCGGTTCTCTCAGTTTCTCCTGCGCTCAGAGACTGGCTCCTTCACAACCTGTCCTGCTCACGTAACCGGACCAGACGGTATTTGGCCCTCACATGAAACTCTGTGGTCACCATCTGATATCTCGCACTACTAAAGTGGAAAATGGACTCTAAAGAAAAACAAAAAACAGTTTATACAATGCTGCTTAATACAATTTGAACAGAAGCAAATTGTTATTCCAATTATTTAGTGCCTTTTGGTATTAAACTGTTGAACTATTTATCTGTTAGAGAAACTGTATTTACTATTTAGTTTTGTTATTATTTATTATTTGAATTATTGAGCTTAAAGGTTAATGGGGATTTTCCCAAATTTCAGGAAAGAACCGCCTTCTCCACTTTTTGAACAAAACTCTCAGGTCTTATGTGACGAGCACGTATCAACAGAATGATGGGAGGACCAATAGTCTTGATGATCCACCCGGAAGTAAAAAATCCTCCTATATACCTTTAAGTTCTTTTACTCTATGATTAGTTTCAATGTTACTCTCACTCAGGCGGCTCTTAGCTCCTGGTGCAGATGGCTCCTTGGATGACAGCTGTGTGTGTGCGTGTGTGTGTGCGTGTGTGCGCCTGGTTGGGTTGATGGGTCATGGGCATCTAGGATTGTTTTTAAAGTCTAAAGCACTTTGCGTTGAATTGCTGATGTGGGTGTAGTTTAAAGTTACATTATATTCTGTGTTTTACTTTGTAACTGAGAATGTGTGTTTGTAAGGAGTCTGGACTGTTCTGAGATTTACAATGTTTTCTTATGATATATTTAATGATGTTTTACTCTGCATATGTGAAAATGTATTTTATTCTATGTTTTTTTTGGACCGCAGATGGAAATAAACATAGGGCAGTCATCTTTTTAATGTAACTGCCCATTGTCAATTAAATGAAATAGCTAAAATAATGAGATTCTTTCCAAAGTAAAAGAAACATTATCTCACACTTGTTTACACTAACCGCACCACCCAATACGAGCTGAAACAATAATTATTTTTGTTAGAGAATGCCATGCTATTTCTGTTAAAACCTTGAAAGCAGGAATGCAGATTTAAATGACACCGTCTCCAGCTGTGGGAGCAGATCAGCGCATGTAAGACAATATTACTGGGAATTATCAGGTGATACTTTTATAAGCAGGGTATTCTGGGAGCAAAACCGATGCCCATCATTACCCACCTTCGTGAAACAGCTCCTTTTTTACTTCCCCATTGGGTCGAAATCGGGATCCATCCGTTCCCACTGGGCTCAAGTTGCGTGACACCCATCCGAAAATACAGACCTCTGTCTTCACCCACTGCCCACACCTGTCAAACCAAGAGCCAAAAAGGACATAAATCAGACCAGCGTTTTTACTACGTAGAGTTATGCAAAAGTTAAAGCTGGGCGACCTAACTTCAAATAAATAATGCTCGTTTGTCCCGATACGAAGAGTTTTGTGAACGCAAAAATCACACTAACTTATTACAAAGTTGTGGAAAGCTTATAAGAAAGAACCCTCTCAGTCACTATTTAAAAAAGTGATAAAACTATTTTGAAGCCAGGAACTAGATCATTGACTTGGGGCCCTTAAAAGACCATGTGCGCCCCACAGTCACCAACCTTGGCGTCATCTTGGACAGTGATTTTAAACTTGATAAACAGATTGTGTTTTAAAATCAAGCTTATATCATTTGCGACTTTTATCTAAGGTTAAACCTTTTTTTTATCTTTTAATCTTTTTGAGCAGGTCATGCATGTTTTTATTTCTTCACGCCTGGACTATTGCAATGCACTTTATGCGGGTATCCCCCAAAACGCACTTTCCCGTCTGCAGTTGGTCCAAAACTCAGCAGCACGACTTTTAACAAGAAGCAGAAGGTGCGATCACATTACACCAACTCTGGCATCGTTGCACTGGCTTCTTGTTCATTTTAGAATTAATACATTTTAAGGTTTTATTGTTTGTTTTTACAGCTTTGAATGGACTAGCCCCTCCTTACAGATTCTCGGACCTCATCCCAATTTACCACCCGCCCCGCGCGCTGGGGTCCGAGGGTCAGCTCCAGCTCGTGGTACCGAGGACGAGACGAGAAAACCCGGGGGGACAGGGCCTTCTCTGTGGCTGGACCAAAGCTGTGGAACGTTCTGCTATTTTACTGTTTTACTATGGATTTGTTTTATTTAGTATTTTATTGTGCAGCACTTTGGAAACTGTGTTTGTGAAATGTGCTATATAAATAAAGTGGATTGGATATTATTACATACTGTAGTTACATTTATTTAGTGGTTTGAAAGTACCGCAGCTTTAATTTCATTGTATTGTTGTAGGTTGCAAACTTGTGCACTCGACTTCCATGGACATCTCTGTGCTTTAAAATCAACAGTAAATTTTGCGAGGACCACGAACAGACATGAAATCCAAATGTTTTTGACCGCTGTCGCCATAGCAACGGGGCTGAAGGAAATGTTACTTTATAAGGTCATACGCTGCAATGCTGACACCTGTCACTTCACACAAGCCCTCTCCATAACCACAGCCCCTGAAATATGAAATACGGGATGTGAAGATGACGGCTTGGCCAACTTCTAATTAGGGAGTCTCCCATATGTCAGGCCAGTAGGAATACGCTCTGGGGATATAAAAGGCCGGGGTCCAAGATGCGACTGTCGGGTCGTTGGCCGGAATGCTGCGGTGCTCGTGTTACAGAGCAGAGGGAGCGAAGAGGGTGAGGTGGTTTGGAGGAGGAGGTGTCATCTGAGGGACTGCAGTGCTAGCAAAGTCCTCAGCAGTGAGCTACACACAGTCCCACTGACCTCAGAGTCCGGGCAAAGGAGAGTTTTGCAAGGGAGTGATTGATGGGAATAAGATAGGATAAGATAAACTTTATTGATTTCACACTGGAGAAATTTACATGTCACATTTGGAATAGATATAAATCACTCAGGTTGTGCACAAGACAGAAGTGTGCAACATGTTAAAGGTATGTAGTCCATGCCGAATAGTATTGTTTCTAATCATAGATTGTTTCTATGAGGTGTGCAGCACAGCATCCTGTTCTGAATTTTATTTGGAAAAAAAAGGTTTACTGGTAATTTTCATCAGTCCACGACGATAACTGTAGGTGAACTTAGAAAAGTGTTCAAAAGTCCATTTACTTCTGTGATTCAACTTACACTATCTTCTTTTATTGGTTGTAATGTTGATAATTGACGCACAGCAGAGTGGAACTACAGGAATAAAAGCACTTTTTAACTTGTTTATCTCCAAAGGCTAACTTTCCCCTTTACTCCTATCCCAGTGACACAAAGTATATATGCATAATAAAACATTTAGAATTACAAGTTTCATAGACAGGAATATGAATATGCAAATGAGCTCAAAACCCCAAATTTTGAACAAATGTTTAAACAAAACGTAATAATCAAAGGCAGTGTGATAGGAGCCATAGAGAAAATAAGATTTTTGTGGTGTTTTTGTTTTGTTTTTATTATTAGTGCTAAATATTTTTTGATACTTCCAGTGTGTTATGGATCATCGTGACTGGAGTAAATTTAAAAAACAAGCCAATTCAGAAGTAGATGTTTGGCTGTATTGGCACACATTTTGTTGATAGAAATAAAACCTTTAGGATCTTTAGTATATTGTTCTGAACACCTCCAAGAAAAGATTCATGGTGACAAACCTTCTCTCTTTAGGCCCAAAATCAGGCACCGTAGTTTTCCTGAACATTCAGCTCAAGACATGTACTACATTCAGAGCTTGAACAAGCATCTATCAAATGGAAATGCTTGGATAATTTTCCAATTTCAATTGCCGTTTGAAAATAATTATTTTCAGAGCAGTAAGTGGTGTCATGAAGGTGAATAGTTTATGAAGAGGAAATCTAAAACCCAACATGACCGTGTTGGCCTTCACCTGGTCATTGAGGCCAACATCCACCATCATCATTTCTCCTCCAATGCTGATCCAGCCTGACCCACAAGGATTATGGGAGTTCACCCCTCGTCTGAACCACACCTGCACATGAACAAAAGAGGAAATGATGTCACCAGCGTACCCCGGAGATACTGTAACTATACTGTACCTATAAGGTAACTATACTGTAACTATACTGTATACCTTGTAGTCTTTGGTGACCACCCACACAACACTGACTCCCACTGAAACATACAAGGCTTCTACTTCTTTTCCTGGTGATTCGACTTCAGTCCATGATGTGCCTGCAGATATGTATATGAAAAGATAAATCATCTACATACACAGTAACGGGCACAATGAAGAAAACAGAGAATATAAGTATCATATTGAATAAACAAACCAGTTGGACAGTCCAAGCTGAGGCCAATCCGGACCAGGAGGTTTCCATCCCAGAGCACGGCCCAGAGCAGGTCTCCAGGGCCGGCTGATAACTGAGCCACCTCCTTTGGGACCTCCACCTCCTCCCAGCTGCTGCCCTCTGGGACGCGAGGATGAATACCCTCCCTGAACCACACCTAAACATTACATAGAAGCAAAGATAATTGAAAATGGGTTCACATAACAAGTATGCTTACTTTGCCACGCAAGCCACGTTTGGAAAGAGTCAGACCAAAATAGTTTACAAACAGACTTGACATGGAGCAATGGTGCCACCATGTGATCAAGCCGTGCTTGTGAAACATTGTGGAATTATAAACAGGACAGTCTGAACATGTCTGTATATTTCTGATTCACAAGGACTGACCTGGCCCTGCTGTGATACTCCCCAGAGGTATGGGTACCTCCCAGATTGGTCACTCATCTCCCAGCCGCCACAGCTGATGTCACAAAGTGGGAGTGGAGACTTTCTTGAGTTTTCCAAAGGAATCTACAGAAGATATTTTTCTTCAATAACTTTGTACTATACTTGTAATCAGGTATTGCAATTGCAAATGAAACCTTTGCCCAGCTTCCCGGTGCAATGTATCTTCTATAACGTATCCAGCGTCTACGCCGGACACAAGAATTCCATTTTTTATCTGGGGAGAAGTTGGCTGGAAAATCCACTGCATACTCCCAGCTCTGCACAAAGAGTTGCATGTTAAAAGTCCCTATAATTCAGTTGTCTAAAAAGTATATACTGTATATAATAGGCTATTACTCTTACCCCAGTCTCACTGGGTTCACCACTGCAGCTCTGATCCACGTACCAGTCCCCCTCCCACTCCCAGCTACGGGACGGGAGCTGGAAGCTGTGAAGAGGTTGCTGGTTCAAGCCTGTGACATCACTCCAAGGCCAGCGGTCAGTGGGCAACAGCACATCTGTGAAGCCATCCACAGGGTTCCACCTCTAAACAAAAGGATGTCAGAAGTTTTCATATTTATGCAAAGTTTGGGGTCATTCTCTTTCATCTAAACCTGGTTTTCATAAGTCTCCTCTCTGTAGCGGATGGGGGTTTCGCTGGGCAATATATTGAGGTAAACATGGTGGTCACAGCCGATGCCCCAACATCTGCCTTTTCCTGCAGAGACGCGCTTGAGCTCCAGCAGCAGGTCATCCGCACGCTCCCAGCGCTCGCCGGCCGTGGACAAACTGTACACCCTGCCATAGACATCCACCGCCCACAGGAGAGTGATCGGCATGATGACCCCTGGACCAAAAGACAAGACAATATTTGAAATTGAAAAATAGAAATTGGATTTCTATTTGCTTGAAAATGTATTTTTCGTTGCAAACAAGTCTTATGGCTAGAGATATGACTTCCTTTCTGTTTATTTTGTATTATAATATTGGTTGTTGAAATGAATAAATAGAAAAAATACAAAGATAAATCCACATGTTTCCGTATTTTGTCTATTACACAAACTACAGGTTCGGTTGGCCTGCATGTGCTGCTTTTAACCTGAAGTTTACCGGAACTAGTATTCCACTCCAATTCAGTCAGCTTCCCACGGAGTAACTGATGCAGTACGTGCAATACTAATCCTCTACAGCCCTAAAGAGGCTCGTCTATTGATCTTGAGACTAGAGTCCTACTAAAACTAAGCATGATAATGACTAAAGCCAATTAACATTAGGCCTATACCAAGAGATGTCGTGTTCTGGGCTGCATCTATCGCACCAACAGGCTATTCTCACTTAGTCGGATTTCAGTGTAATAGTAGCCCGAGCAGAAGCAGACAGCTCTGAGAGTAAAGTGTAAAGACACTGGTGTAAAGACACTGGTGTAAAGACACTGGTGTAAAGACACTGGTGTACCTGGCCCTGGATGCAGATATCCGAGCCGCGGTCACGGCAGAAGCAAACGCGACATGACACAGACTGTGCTTTTACCACCAAGAGCCATGTCAACACATCCTGCACACAACACACACTTTATTCACATTCAGTCACTGTTTAGTGAGTGACTTGACACTGACAGCTAGCATCAATACAAACCCCAAAGCTGTTTACATCCCGAGAGGGCAAACTACAGAGAGAAAACAGCAGCACAAGACAATGACACATAACTTACATGGGCTGTCGTCTCAGTCTACAGAATACACGGCTCTAGGGCTAAAAGTCCTTAAATGAGACATTCCACAGTGATGTGAACTCTGAAGCAGAGGAATGAGACCACAACAGGAAATGGAGGATGCGTGTCTCTGATTGGTCCAGACGGCTGTAGGGGCGTCAAATGCGCTCATCTCATTGGTCTAACACTGAGCACCCGGAATATTTCCCGTCTGACTTCGCTGATTGACGTGTATATTTCAATAATTTATTCAGCATCAAATCAATTATTGAAAAGCTAGATTGTCTTCACCTGTTCAGTTACAGTTTGGGCTTTTCAATCAGCTGGGTGGTTGAAACAGGGCCACTGTTATTCGCATTCAGCACCTTGGATAGGGCCATAGGTTCATTACAAATACTAACATCTATGTTCATCATCACACAATAAATATATGTTTTAAATGTAAAGAAAAACTGTGCGTTGTAAGTTCTATGCAAAATCTTCTCTAAGATTCTCATCACATTAAATTAGGGAATAATGTTATGAAACGTAAGTCTTATGTAAGTTAAACGACGGAGCGCGGCCCTGCTCTGTTCATATCTAAGGTCAATTCCAGCCCTATTCATTTGTGTTGTTTCTGGGAGTACAGCTCCAACAGCTGATGCCCAGACTGGCGCACATCTTGTACTAAAGTTGCACACAGACTGTAGTGCCACACACAGACTGTAGGAGCCGCACACAGACTGTAGGAGCCGCACACAGACTATAGAGCCGCACACAGACTGTAGGAGCCGCACACAGACTGTAGGAGCCGCACACAGACTGTAGTGCCACACACAGACTGTAGGAGCCGCACACAGACTGTAGGAGCTGCACACAGACTATAGAGCCGCACACAGACTGTAGAGCCGCACACAGACTGTAGGAGCCGCACACAGACTGTAGGAGCCGCACACAGACTGTAGGAGCCGCACACAGACTGTAGTGCCACACACAGACTGTAGGAGCCGCACACAGACTGTAGGAGCTGCACACAGACTGTAGAGCTGCCCACAGACTGTAGAGCCACACACAGACTGTAGGAGCCGCACACAGACTGTAGGAGCCGCACACAGACTGTAGTGCCACACACAGACTGTAGGAGCCGCACACAGACTGTAGGAGCCGCACACAGACTGTAGGAGCTGCACACAGACTATAGAGCCGCACACAGACTGTAGAGCCGCACACAGACTGTAGGAGCCGCACACAGACTGTAGGAGCTGCACACAGACTATAGAGCCGCACACAGACTGTAGAGCCGCACACAGACTATAGAGCCGCACACAGACTGTAGTGCCACACACAGACTGTAGGAGCCGCACACAGACTATAGAGCCGCACACAGACTATAGAGCCGCACACAGACTGTAGGAGCCACACACAGACTGTAGGAGCCGCACACAGACTGTAGAGCCGCACACAGACTGTAGGAGCTGCACACAGACTGTAGTGCCACACACAGACTGTAGAGCCGCACACAGACTGTAGGAGCCGCACACAGACTGTAGGAGCCGCACACAGACTGTAGAGCCGCACACAGACTGTAGAGCTGCCCACAGACTGTAGAGCCGCACACAGACTGTAGGAGCCGCACACAGACTGTAGGAGCCGCACACAGACTATAGAGCCGCACACAGACTGTAGAGCTGCACACACAGACTGTAGGAGCCGCATACAGACTGTAGGAGCCGCACACAGACTGTAGGAGCCGCACACAGACTGTAGGAGCCGCACACAGACTGTAGGAGCTGCACACAGACTGTAGAGCTGCACACAGACTGTAGAGCCGCACACAGACTGTAGGAGCCGCACACAGACTATAGAGCCGCACACAGACTGTAGGAGCCGCACACAGACTGTAGGAGCTGCACACAGACTGTAGAGCTGCACACAGACTGTAGGAGCCGCACACAGACTGTAGGAGCCGCACACAGACTGTAGGAGCCGCACACAGACTGTAGAGCCGCACACAGACTGTAGAGCTGCACACAGACTGTAGGAGCCGCACACAGACTGTAGAGCTGCACACAGACTGTAGGAGCCGCACACAGACTGTAGAGCTGCACACAGACTGTAGAGCTGCACACAGACTGTAGAGCTGCAGCCATAATACATCCATGGCTGCAGCTCGGTGCGCTGTCGCTTTAAGAGGCTGTAGTTGCGCAGAGGCGCACCAGCAGCGTCACATGATTCTTCTCTTGTGACAATCCAGACAGAAAGAAGCCAGAGTTCAGCGCACTTTCTGAGTGGTATGGATCTTTCCTGTGGTTCTTGTGCCAATCAGGGCCAACTGTGAGGAGCGCCATGGAGCTCAGTTAACCACAACAGCACCTTACATTACATTCCGATCTGGAAAGTGGCATTTGGAGAAGATTGTTTTTCTTTCCGTCGCAGCAACAAAGTTGGCGCATGGAAAGAGACGAAGTTTTCAGTTTTTTTTTAGTTTTTGTTGTTTGGTCTTCTCGTGTCTCCGTTACCTGTTGAAACCAAGACCAAAGCTCACGTTGTGTTTGCGTAATCTCGGTCATATTCCCAGTGAAGCAGCGCACAGGACAGTACTGGGGCATCACACCGCACAGCTGAGATGGTGGACAGTAAACCTCTGCTTCAAGACAGACCTCCCGCCTACAACGCAGTCCCAGGGGTCTACGAGTATGGCCCCCCGCCCCAGCAGGGCTACGGGGCCATTCCTGCGGCCGTCCCACCGCCGTACCAGTGCCCCCCAGGACAAGGCAAGTCCCGACGCTTCACTTTCGTTTATCACAAAGTAACATGTTGTCAGTGATTGTGGGTGACGCGCGTCTGAGATCAAACAGGCTGTGTGCTTCTGAGACTTTTATAGATATTGTGTTATTGTTGCTGCTTCATAAAAAACGGACCACGATGTTTGTAACAAGGAAGTTCTGCGGACTTTCTCATACATGTCTTCCTGTTTCCTACCAGTCATTAGGCCTACTGTTTATAGCTGTGTGGACTACAAGGTCAACACATTATCTGATAAAAGGTCCAAAGTTCATCTTACACACTTTTATTTTTAAGTTTCAACAAATAATTTACCCTTATATTTTCTAATACAAAGTCATGCAAAAGATAGTTAAAAGTCTATGAGAATATGAAGTGAAGGTGAGTAAGTATTGTTGTTTTTAATGTTTGTTTCTCTTTTCTCCAGCATCCCACACGGTCCCGCCGGTGTCCCAGCAGCCGTACGCCGGGACGTATGCCATAATCCAGCCCTCTGTGGTGGTGGTGGGGGGCTGCCCGGCCTGCAGGTGATCTCACACACGCACTGTTGTTTGTTGATGGCCATACCTGCTTGTCTACTCTCATAGGATATCAGGAGCTAAGCAGTACAGATTCTGGTTAGAATTGTGATGGGAGACTGCTTTGAATACAAGTGCCACACTGTGACCTAATGTGGCTCAAAAATAAAAACGGTTTTCATTTAAACATTCCAGAATGTGATCTGTGAGAGGATGGTCGGTGCTGGTCAAGGGTCTGGGGGCCGCTTCTTCACTCTGCTCCAGGGCAGCTGTGGCTACAATATAGCACATTTGTTATGTGTTGAATCTGTGTGACCATAATACACAAACGAGCACTGTGTTTATATAAAAAACGTAATTGTTATTCTGATTGTCCAGAGTCGGGTTCGACCAAAAACTAGGTGTGTTATTGACTCATGTTTACCGTAACAGGTTTTATTTGGCTCCTGAGAGACGCAGAGGTTAAGGAGCCTTTTGATTCGCTTTTATAATGAGTGAATACAGATTTCTTTCGTTCTGCATCCAAGGAAACTCTTAAAGATTGTGATTTTGACTTTGCAATTTGTTACTGATATGCTTAAAACTGTTAACGTTGTGAGTCAACCTTCTGTCAGCTGATGTCATGTGATCAGCAGCGGCTCAACGCTGATGTTAACTTTGCTAATTTACATGAAAGGGTAGTCGTCATGTTGGAATGTTTTAAGACGTGTATTATGAGATTCAGTGGTTTGGATCTTGTCAACCTTTTTTATTAAAATAAGTAAAGAATTAGGGATAGTAATTCATATTTTAGTCTATGTTGTTGACTTCAAACTGAAAGTATACAACCTTAAACCTCCATTGTGCAGAATTATACTAAACAGTGATCTTTTTACTCTATTTTTTTTTTTCTATAAATAATTTTCTCTGTGTATGTAATGAGTGATGTCGTAGCAGGCTGTTGACAAATCAATCAATATATCAAAAATATTTATAAAGCACAATTCATACAAAGTGCTTCACAAGGATAAAAAAACTGAATATAAAACAAAAAAAAAGTGCAAATATATAAAACATTGTATTAAACATCCAGTAAAAAGGATCAAAGTTAAAACATTCTTCCAATAAATAAGACCGTGTCAGTCTGGACTTCAACATATCCTGGGATGTGGCGTGTCTTACGAGTTCAGGGAGACGGTTCCAGATTAGGGCCACAGTCCTGATGTTTGAAATGTCAATCACTCGTAAAGACCAACTGGTTTTTCGCACTCGTCAGTCGCACATAGTTCTGACGTAGCTCTCGGTCACAAAGTACTGTAACAAACTTAAAGCTGAGTTCCTGGTTGGTTGCAGTCATGAGACTTTGTGCTTATTTAAATTAAGGATTAAATTGAGTCTAGAGGCCCTTTGCACCCGGCTCTGGGCTTTCATTTTACAGTAAGTTATAAACAGGAAGTGCTGAGGCCGTCGGTGTGATAATTGCAGTATTTTGACCTTTTCATCACATGACGTTGTTGTTGCAGGGTGGGCGTGTTGGAGGACGACTTCACGTGCCTGGGCATCCTCTGCGCCATCTTCTTCTTCCCCCTGGGCATCCTCTTCTGCTTCGCCCTGCGCCAGAGACGGTGTCCCAACTGTGGGGCCACTTTTGGTTAGAGGGACCAAACCGTGACACGTCTCAATCCACACAGCACTCAATGCAACAGTTGGTTTTTTGTTTTTGCAATCTCTGCACTTAGCCGACACTTACAACATGGATTTATTAGTTCCACCTTTTCAGCATGTTATAGTAATCTTAATTTGCTATGAATTATATGTTAGTGCCTTCATGTCATGCCGATCATGAGAAATTCCACTTATTGCCAATTGGTTTGTAGAATTAGTTGATTTAAGATGAGCAGATTGCACATGTACACTGTGTACCTAATGTTTTGGTAAATGTTTCTTTTTGTGCTGTACGGATCTTTTTCCTTAAATACATGTTTGCCATTGGATCCTTTCAGATCAACAGACTATCAGACATAGTCGTATAACAAGAATACCTTTATAGAGGATTGACATTTATTGTGTAAATACATGTATATTATTGTTTCAGGGGGCCATATTTGCACTGATCAGCTAGGTTTGTACTTTTCCAGGGCCAATGCAGACCTCAGGAACATGCAATACGACAAGCTCTCAACTTATACAGCCAATCACACGTGGACTTTATATCAGAAATGTGTCCTTTTTGAAATGCAGAAACACTGTACATCTATAATATGTACTTTGTTTTAAACCAGACAATCAACAACAGGTCTGTCCCCGTTCGTTCTGATTAGTATCCTATAGTCGATGTCTTCCATTACATTATGAAGAGGTTTTGTAGAAATGGGGAAGGCGATGGGAGGATTGTATATCTTCAAAGTTCTTTTGTATACAACTTACCGTAATTAAAGAATGCTGCGTAAAGTACCTTTTGATTTGTCCTTGACTGTAACCGCACAACATGATAGCTTAAACATCTTTGCATTAGAGAAATCAACACGTTTCTTACCACAATGCAGAAATACATGTTTATTTTCTGTTTGCATTGGTAAACTTGCAGCTGCAGGTATGGTACTGAACGCCATGTGGAATAATTAAAGCTAAAATAATTGAACCATATGTGTCATTTAAGGCAAAAAAAAAGAATCCATGATCTCTTGGAAAGTTATGGCTAAAACCAAACTTAGTACAAGCCACTTTTAGGAAGGAGTTCTCTATGTCAACAGTTCATCATGGAGGGACGCAATGGTCTTCAACAGTACACAAATCTACTGTTTTATGGCAACAATAAGAATCTATAACATCTATGAACGCACAGTAACCATTTTATATTTAACAAACTGTCAAGTGCCGGTGCAGACGTGGTCATTCACTTGCATGTGTCATCACCACTACAAACAAGAGACTGGACAGACATAAAATTCATCTTAAATATAAGGGCATCTTTATAAAATGGTTGAGTTTGCAGTCAGCGGGACATCCCATAATCCACAATGGCATTTTTCATTCAAGTCAGTGTTGTTGATCCGGACCAAAAAACAATTGAGATCCACAAAGTCTGTCAGAGAAGAAGTGGGTCAAATGGCCGGAGCAGAGCGGTCGTTGGTGACGGTGGGGCGTAGCCGGATCGTGGCGAAAGGGTTGCCTCCTCTGAAAACACAACTCTGGATGAGAATATATGTATGGGACCAGCACTGAGAATATCTGACTTACGCTAGATACGGAGCTGCTGCGGGTCTGGAGGTGCCATTTGACTGTTGACAAATGAAAGAGAATTACATTAATAGAGTATATCTTAATTACGTGAGTATCACAGTATGAATGCTTTATTAGGAGTTTTTGCCTTTAGAATTTGATTGGTCAGAATTTCATAATTAAAAAAACATAAGGCAACAATTATAATGCAAAGGAAAAGATCACAACAAACAAACAAAACCTAAAAATATAATACATTAAAAAGGAAAAAAGAAAAGATGAATAAAAACAATAAGCTAAAGAGGTGAAAAAAGGTTTCTTACTGACATTCTGCTCACTTCATGTCATTTCCTTGTAAATCAAGCGATTGCGAATTATTTATGTAGAAGAACGTGTAATTTACGACACTTACCACTAGAGGTCAGTATTGCACAGCAGAATTTTGTGTGAGATGAGCACTTCAACACTAAACCAACACGTCTACACGTACCCCTGGACACATTTTTGCTTGCTTCAGTACCATAAAAAGAGACAATTTTAAACTCCATTGAAGGATCTTGTTTTTCCACTTTCTATTTTAAAACAACCATCTGTCATGTGTTCTTTCCATGCCACAGTACACATGCGTAATGCAGCTTTCAAAACAAACACACGTTCCTTCTTGATCCACATTCATATATTTGACCCATCCCTGAAACACACTCCTTCCTCCTCTTTATCAGCACAAAAGGCCAAACCAGCGAGGGAGCATTTTTCCTTATAGTGACGGTGCATACCAGGGTAACCCCACCTCCCCTGACTGCCACCTCTCACCTTTCACTCTCTGGACCAACCTGCTTGGTTGGAAAATGGTTTTACTCACATCATTTAATGATACCACACTTCCTCAAAAGTTAAACTTTCTCTGCCCAGAAAAGTCCACTGGAAAAAGAAACGTATTTTGCATGGTTTGTCCATGAATGAATGAAATTAGTATGTCAGAAAGTCAGTTCAATATACTGTACTTAATAGTACTGAAAAACAACACTATTATTGTTTCAGAAAAGTAAAACCACACACTTTGAATCAAAAAGGTTCCAGGTAGAGCTTCAAAATGCAACAAAACTAATTATAACATTAAACTGACATGTCTGTTTATAGCTGATCCAAGTTCCAAACATGAACTCAGTAATGAGCAGCTCCACTGTTATTGTTGATCACTTTGCAGGAGGTGAAGACGGTCACACAGGGCATCTACTGTCTGGAACTGTTCCCAAAGAGTCTGAGTTTCCACCTGATCTGAATCCACTCCAGAGTCCTAAAGAGGAACGGTGCATTGTGAACTGTAGCGATGTCCAGATAAAAAACCCAGTGGTTACTGCAGAAGAGATGCAGTGAGTTTTCATCAGACACAGTCAGCAGCGTTTGACCTGCAGCTGCTGAAGCCCCTCTCAGTGGAGGAAAAAGGCCCTCGCATCAATCTGCTGCTTTGCTGAGGAGAAAACATCAGGTCTTGGTGCCAGTAATGTTGTAAACCATCAGAACCATCGAGGCACATCTCTCATCTCAGAATAAAACTTAAACCTTTCAATTTAGTTA